TTATGTACACAAAGCACCGCTAATTAGTTCGTAACGCTCACATCGACACTACTGTCATTTACACAATGTACATGTGTGGGTAATTTCATATTACTGTGTATAAAAATATTCGTCCACCACGTTCACATTGGTATTTTCATTCTTGTGTCGGTATACGTATTTTTATAATTTAATGCATGGGTAAGGTTAAAACTATTTACAATCATTGATATGACCCGACATTTTCACTGTAATTATCGTAGTGCTCGTGGTCGATTGGTTAATGAGTACGCTTTTATCGTCTTTCAAGGATCAATGATGATGTGGGTTCTATTCCAGCTAAAAGTTTTTTTTTATTTTACCTTGTTGTTTTTCTTATTTATTTTTTTTTTGTTTTTTGTCATATAATATAAATATCAGGCTATAAAAGAAGCAAATCAGTCGGTAAATAAAACAATACTATTTTTTATTAAAATTAATTTATTAATTATACAAATATGTGGTTTTATATTCAATATTTATATCTAATAATTAATTATATACCACATGTTAACTTTAAAGTTCTTCCAATCATTCTAAATTATTCTAAATAATAAATAACTAGAACTAAAATATAAATAAAGGATATTATAGGTATAAATAAATCTAAAGTATTTACTATTAAAATTAACATAAGATTTAGAAAAATAGGATAGGAAAAAAAGAAAAGATTTAATTGTTTCTAATTTCACATTTCAAATATTTGATTAATTAATACTAAAACAACATGTGAATGCTGGAATCGATCCGGTGGCACTTTACTTGACCACTGGAGGCGATAACCATTGCGCCAAGCGCGCCGTAGATGAGAACATCGAAATATTGTATATCATTCAGTAACATAAAAATACAATGAGAATGCACTATATTTATATAAGTATTGTATTGCTCGATCGTTCATTATTTTTGATTTCGATTTATTCAAAGTTTGTTATGAGTATTTTTATCTTTACCCTCGTTTTTATTTAAACTTATTTACTAAAATATTACGTATACCGACACAAAAATGATATGTAATACCAAGATGTGTGTGATAGAACGAATGTTTCTATACATATCTATTAATATGAAATTACCCACACATGTTCACTGTGTAAATGATAGTAATGTCGATGTGTAGCGCCTCGAACTAATTAGCGGTGCTTTGTGTACATACCTACCAATTACATTTAGGGTATAGGTTGTATAAGTAGTACCTTATTTTTATTTATTTATTTTTTATTATTATTGCATCTATACTCACTGACCGGTCAAAGTTTACAATGAATGGGTACAATACTTATTTTATTATAGCTAAGCATCCAGTTACTAAATATGTAGAAACATTACTTTTCTTGGAAAATGAAAAAAACGCATGTACTCATTAGTACTTATATCTCAATCCATATACTGCATTTTTACGTTTCCGCCTCATAGTTAATAGTTACACGACTATTATATAGTTATTAGATAGGTACGGTACACACAAATCATACAACGGTAGCGTAGTTTAGTTGCAGCAGTGACACGAATAAACAGGTCCACAGGCGCGCGTTTTTCGCTTGCCGCTGCTCCACGCCTCGGAGTGGGGCCCCTCGCACCACACCCCGTACACTCCTAGCTTTACGTCTCGCAACGGTCAAATCTAAGTTTTTCGGTACCGTTATCGCATAAAGGTTAAATACCGGTATAGCTTTCATTTCGGTACACTTATTTTATACCGGTACCGTACCGTTATACCTTAACCGCTTTCAGTCCCTGGTACTGAGTGCCAAGCACGAATAACTATCGCATTCGTAACGTAATAGTATCGAGCGCGTTCGGCGCTCTGATTGGCCGGCTCAAGTGAACCAACCAATCAGAACGCTTAACTCGCTCGATACGGTTACGATACGAATGCGATAGTTATTCGTGCTTGGCCCTCAGGCCTTTTTGAACCATTTTGACTGTATATTTGTTTTTACTATTTTCCGTGGTTTTTGTATTTTGTAACGGTGCAGATATAAATGGTTTTTCTTTCTTTCTAAACTAAAATTAAGAATTAACTAAAAATGGCGGGTTACTCGCGTGAAAATTATATTTATGTTTCATATTAATATGTAGTATTGGTACGTAGTTTATATACTGGGATACCTTTATAAACGTACATTTATCACTCTCGCCTTTTTTTTTTAATAGATGCAAACTTCGTTTAAAACCTACTGTAACACTTGTCTGCATCACCCTATGGTTGGCTGGTAGAGAATGCCATTCGGCATTAAGTCCGCCATTGTATACATTTGTACAAAAAGCGTTAAATAAAATAAATATTAATAAACAATAAATAAAATTAAATAGTCATTGTTATTACGATCAGATTTCTTAATCAAATGATTTTTCAAAGCACATAATTATGTTACCTGCAGTAGTTGGTACAGAGTCCCCCCGGGCACGTACTCAGTAACAAGATGGAGTCGCTTGTCCTTGTACAGGACGCCCACGAAACGTAACACGTTGCGGTGTTTCAGGGAACGAAGGACTGCCACCTGAAACATTCATACATTTTAAGGACGATTAGCTTTTTATGAACGTTGTCAACTTTGCACTACCATAGTAAGTCGGTAACCGGGTACCAGGATTTGGTTAGACATTAAATGTAGGAAGAAGTCATCTGGCCAATCACAGCTGCAGTTGTCAAATATTGAACGTCCAATGGTGTGACACTAGCTGATTTCCTACTGGACGATGAGCGAGAGGTTACACTAGCGCTATCTGTTGAGCGAAAAAACCAATTTTATTTTCATAAAAGTAAGGACTAGCTGTTAGTCGCGACTTCGTTCGCGTGAAATTATTCATATTTCTTGTTAATTTATACTTTTTTGACGCGACAACGTGTTGATTGGCGAGGCGTATTTGAGAGCTAGTATGAAACGGAACGTTTATTGTCTACTCAAGATGGCGACTACGGGTTGTCTGTCAGTGCCATTAAAATGCATTAATAAAACGAAATAATCTCCGTAATCCGAATTTTGCTGATATATGTTGTCGACTGGAAATCGATATTTTTTATGTTTTGTTATTCAGGTAATGTTTCGATCGAGTCTACCGTACCCCTTGACGATATTATTACTATAGATAAATAGTTGTCATCAACCGCTCAAGGCTGATGTTGCATAAATAACACGAAAACAAAAACTATTAAAATAAAAAAAAAAAACAATTTCTTTTGGTCAGCGTGTTGGGATCGTCCCATGTACACTCTATGAAAAAAAATGCTGAGAATAAGGATGAGCATTCATATTGTGAGCGAATCTCAACTAAACATTTCCTTCCTTGCACAGTCTTTAATAAAGTCTAGAATGACATAATATTAAGAAAGTAGTGTTTACCTCCTTGAGGAAGTTCCTCTGCGCGTCCTCGTCGACTCTGTACAGTTGTTTGAGTACCATGACCTCGTTGGTGTCGCGGTGGGTCACCTTGTACACCTCGCCGAAGAAACCTGAACCGAGCAGCTCGCCCTGCAAGAGACACGATGGACATGTCAACATCTTCAGTTACTATACAGGAGAAACCTTGGTTGATTGTCTCAGCGGTCATTTGTGGTGAATAGTTCATTTGTGTTCAAAGTGTCTCTTTCGACTTCGATTCTTAGACACTGATCATTGTTAGTATTTCGTTCGTTGTCTATTATAACTTCTATGACAACAACCCCGATCTCCCCTACTCGTAATATGCGAATATAGAGAATGCTACTAGGCATTAAGTCCGCCATTGTATACAATTGCAAGAAATGTAAATAAATAAATAATATATTAATACTAGCGGACCCAACAGACGTTGCCCTGCATATCCACTTGAATTTCACTGACGGACTGACTGACAGACTATTATTTATTTTGTATTTGTTGACGTTTCAAAAGTACCAAACTATGGTTTATTTGAAATAAATGCTTTGACTTTGAATGTATAAACAAAAATTCATTCAAATTAGTTCAGCTGTTTAGGATGAATAACCTAAACATCAACTGCAGCGCCATCTGCCGGGCTGATTTGTGAATCAAAACCATTCCATTTTTATTGGATTAACACACATAACAAATTTCATCAAAATCGGTCCAGTCGTTTGAGAGAAGTTCAGTGACATACACACTCACAGAAGAATTATATGATGACTGTTTCCAATACGTGGCCTATGTTTTATACGATTGATGAATGTAGGGGGAAAAGTATGCGAAAAATGTACGTAAAGATCGCAGAAAATGATATTTTGTTATTTCTACGTACTGTACAGGTTAACTGCTGACTGCCTCGTTGGCCGACTGGTCGCAAGGGCGATTGCCGGGCAAGGGGTCTCAGGTTCGATTCCCGGGTCAGGCAAATCATTATGGGTTTTTTAAAAATTCTCAGTAGTAGCATGGAGTCTGGAACTGTGCCCGGTATATGGCAATAGGCTCATCCCCTATTACATAGGACTCATAACATAAATAGTGAAATGTGGGTGTTACATTGTACAGTGGTATAATGTGCACCTCTGCCTACCCCTTCGAGGATAAAAGGCGTGATGTTATGCTATGTATACAGATTAACTTACCTATGTATCTATGTACGGTCAAAAGTCCAGTCAAGTCAAGTCCACTGCCACTGTAAGATTACTATCGGTTGCGCTGCAGCGCTTATACACACACACACGCGCATATTTGTATCTGTGTGCGTACGCACGCGTGTGTATGTACATTAATATGAAACTACTTACGCATTGCCGTGTGAACATCACTCACGGTGGCAGTGGACTTTTGACCTTTGACTGTAAAAACGTATAATTATTGTTGTATGTCATATGACTCACCTGCAATAAATCGCTGGCTCGGAACACTTTTTGTCCGGGTTCGGGCTCCGCGCGGAATGACCGCGCCCTGGCCAGGTCATTCAGTACACCACTCGGCTCGTCACCGTCCACACTGGGCAATAATATTATTCATAACTGACTATTACAAAGTTTTTGGGTTTCTTTAGTGTAATAGTGTAAAGAATTAAGGCCTATTCCTTTAGATCGAACTAACCGACTGCATGCACTATTTCAAACTAACTTTTAAATATAATTGAATGATACCTCGCTTTCATGACCAGGCTCGCAAGCTTGTGCAAGGACATAAGGCTCTTGTAATTGACTAGTTTCCTAGGTTTAAAATAAATTGTTTCAACTGTTCAATGCAATAAATAATTGAAAAATAATCATACACTCATCCATTGATTGGAAAATTTACCTACTTTTGGATATTTTCTCGCTAATTTTAAGGAAATAAGTATGTTATTTGACGCAGAAATATGATGACGTCATAAATAGCGATCCAATACGAAATTCATAGAAAAGTATCGTTTTTGACATTTCATTAAAAGTATTGTATTTGACTAACTGTCAACTACCGTATTTATGCATTTCCAATTACCTAAACTTTCATAAACAAGACGAAATCTTCTTCATATATGTACATAACATGTATAAATAATACAAAGTATAAAGTGCGATACTATTCATCCAATTCGTAGATATTATCACAAAAATTCTATACTCACGCATCCAACAGCTTGGACATGCTGCTACTCTTCTCCTTGTCCCCGAGTAGTGGAGAGGAAGGAGTCTGTCTCCTCTTGTGTACCCACCTCCCCGCATCCTCACCCCCCTTCCTCTTAAACAACCTTTCTTTCTTTCCCTCTTCTTTCTTCTCTACCTCTATGGATTGTCTTTGCTTGCAGTCTTCTTTGGTGTTTGTTTGTTTGTCTTGTGTCTTGAGTTCAACTGTGTGTGCGTGTGTTTGTGTGTTTGTCTGTGTGCGTTTCATGTTTGTGTCTGCGGTGTGTTCTATTGTTAGCTGCAATTAAAGATTTGATTAAGGAATTAAATAAATTAATCTTAATAAACGAATGATTGTTAGTGGGGATTGTCTAAAAAAATTGAGGAGTTGTTTTTATTTTATCTTCGTCTAAAATGAAGTATTTTAAGATACTAATTTGAGTATTTCTCCAAAACAGTGTAAAGTAAAATTTATAATCGACTTTAATACATTCTGTCCTTCTACGTCATCTTAGGACTTATCGTAGGTAATTCTTTTATTCATATTGGGAATCTTAAAAAAGTAAACGACAATGAATAAGTTGTTTATAATATTATGTTAAATGTTTACGTTGGTTTCGGTTTGAATTGAATCTCAAAGTAAGGTTATGTATTTGACATGACAGTTGACGCTTCGCAGATGTCAAATCTCTTCTTCATATAGATTGCGTATTAGTAGGCAAAGGCAGTCCTCTATACCGCCTTAAAATGACGTCATTCAATGTCAAATAAAGGTCATTCATATTTCTTTAAAAATATCAGTAATTGTACCGTATTTCAGGGTGTCGTATAGATAAAACTATTAATAAACCTTATTCCCCGAAATGGTTTTTCAATAAGCCCGAATAAAAAAAAATAGACAATCCCCATATTAAGTATCAATATTTTCGTGTAAAACTGATTATTTGAGTGTCACATAACATCACGCCTTTTTCTCCCCGAAGGGGTAGGCAGATGTGCACATTTTGGCACTACTGAGATTAAAAAAAAAACCAGTAACAGTTTGCCCGACCCGGGAATCGAACCCGAGATCACTTGCCCGGCAGTCGCACTTGCGACCACTCGGCCAACGAGGCAGTCGTTTATTATTTTGTGTTATTCGAGTGTCTATTAAGTTAAATATTATAGGAAATCCTCAGTATACCTATGTTTTAAATCTACAATTGTACCCGTTTTGCTAGCGTATATTTTATGCACTCATTAACATTACTTAATATTTCATACCATAATAGATATTTAAATTTATTGCTTCAGGAGTGAAATAACAGACGATATATACCTGTATAACTGTGTCCGGCCGTCCTAAGGCTCTCTCGATTTCATCCAGAGGCCGGTTCTTGACCGGAGTGCCATTGATCTCGAGGATCCTGTCTCCGATGTGTAAGGTCAACACACCACATGACGAATCGATTCTGAAATACCAATACATTTTATTACAGGAATGAAATAAAAACATTTCCTAAGAACTAAAGAACATTTAGTGTGTGTTTCTAAGTCGAAAAAATATTCGATAATCTTATACTATTATATAAAGCGGAAGTTAGTTTTTTTGTTTGTTTGTTTGAACGCGCTAATATCCGTAACTACAAGTCTGATTTGAATATTTTTTTTTGGGTTGGATAGCGCATTTATCGAGGATGGCTATAAGCTATAAAACATCACGCTACGACCAATAGGAGCTGAGCAGAGCGTGTGACACGGCGCGGAAGTAACTAGTACTACACATGGCGACATCTGTGACTTCCAAGTGGAATAAATAACGTACTATTATTTATCACGTGGGAAAGCCGTGCATGCACGAATAGTTGGAAGTCGTATAATCAATAATAGACATACCTATATTTAAAAATATTTTCCATACATAATTATGATGTTTTTCGGCTGACTCGCGTTATTATTCGACGAGGAACTCGACTAGTTTCAAGCCATGCTAGAGGCTCATATTCATGAGCAGCATTCCGCGACCCGCGACGCGGCGACTGTCGCGCTATCCGTCGCCGTGTCGCGGTTCGTGAGTCGTGAGTAAGCCGAAAAACATAATAATAGATTTAGTATGTCTCAAGAAAGTTATAATATTTTCCTTGTAGATAAATACATAGTTTTCATGCTTATTGTATAAATTCTTAGATTTTTGACATCATCACTACACATAGTATAAAACAAAGTCGCTATGCGCCGTCTGTCTGTCCCTATGTATGCTTAGATCTTTAAAACTACGCAACGGATTTTGATGCGGTTTTATGCAATCAATAGAGTGATTCTTAAGGAAGGTTTATATGTATAATACATGTATATTGCACCCGTGCGAAGCCGGGGCGGGTCGCTAGTTGTAATATAATTAAAAAATATAAAATCTATGCTTTGCAATTTCCAACCATTTTTACGTATACACATAGTGTGAATTTACTCTTCAATTTCTAGAAGTTGGACTCATAGTCTACACTATGTAACACTTACAAAACGTTTATATACCTACAGTAAAGACAAATCAGTATAATGCATCTCAATAACACCGAAAGCTACCGTATATCATAACAAGATGAAAGAAAACCATAAAATTATTATATAAGCACTATATATATAGCTTCTGCCTGCGGTGTCGCCCGGAGATAAAAGCCTATTCGTTATTCCAGATCTAGATTATGATCTGGAATAACGAATAGGCTGTTCTAAATTTCAACCCGATTCCTTCAGCCGTTTTGACGTGGTATTCCACGAAGCACACTCAGACGAAGCACACCCAGACGAAGCACACCTAAGGTATTCCACTTAGTAAACCTGTAGGTGGGCTTCAAATAAAAATTTAAAATAATTAATTTCATATTCCACGAAGCACAGCTACGATTATATTATCATAATTATCATCACTGCTTCGTCTGGGTGTGGTTCGTGGAATACCTCGTTTTGACGTGACTGAGTAACAAATATGCACACAAACTCACACACTTTTGCATTTACGATATAATAGTAAGATTGCGTATAACGACTGCACACAGACACACAGAAACATCATGCAAACTTACATATATAACAAACAAAATGCCCATGTTCCACAAACACTAATATTAAATACTAAAATCTAACATTCTATGCACTAATTTACCTTATATTCACTGTCACCATATTGGAACAATATTATCTAGTTACACTAATAAAAACATATCGTCATAATGTATATTAGCACATAACTTCTAAACGGCAGCAGATTATTTGATAGAACATTCCCATATTTGTATGAAAGCAGTATTTCAAAAATTCACTAGAAATACTTTAAATAGAGCTTTACAAATAATTAGAGTGACACATTAAAATGATGACTAATAAAATGATAAGATTGAATAATAAATTATATGCGGCACCAAACGGAGCGAAATATAAATTAAAATGAAAATATTATATGTAGGCACATTATCCGTTCACCACAAGCGAATGTGTTGTGTTAAATTATCCCTATATTTTATAAATTATGTAAGTACTTATGGAAATTGATTTGAAAGGAAAATAATGTTGTCGTAACATGTCATGGTCAGAGCAGGTTAATGTCACGTTTCAGACCGATACATGGAAAAGGAAAAGGAAAATTGTACTGTGCTTTGTGCGCGATTATCTTGTGATTGGCTGAATTTGCCGATTTTGATGCGAATTTGTGAAAAGTGTTTATTTCACTTAGGGAGAAGGTTTTAGTATATAATTATCCGACTTCCAAAAAAGAGGAGATTGAATTCGGTTATTTCTAACGTAGTTTATAAAAGAATTATTTGCTTTTTAATTTTCATTTGCTTTTAGTTTTTTAAGTCGGTTTATTCTACAAGATTATAATAAAATATAATATAATAAATGGTAAGAAACAAAACAATACTGTATTATTTACTGTTTAAGGCTTCGATCAACAATAACAACTAGATAAAGGGTTACGTACAAAATCAAGCTCCAGTTCTGTCCGTGTGAATAATAATAGTAAAAAATAACAAACAGAGAAAAATGTTTTAAAATAGTTTTAAGTTCAACCTAATAAAAACCATGGCACCTAATAATAAAGTCATAAATCGTCAAAATATTATCTAATACTTACGACCATTCGTCATATAAGACAAGAAAAGTATTTTCTTACTCCTGTCATGTAGAAATTAAAAGACATAAGTTATACAATATCTAGTTTGAATTCAACCTTAAGGTCGAACAAATAAAGATAATTTTTCCATTATTGTCTTGCGATCTATATCGTTTTGTTTTGTTTCGTTTTGCTTCTTCAAATTTCGAATTTCGCTACAGGAGGTATGTATGGAGTCGCGTTGGACACTAAAATAATTTTATAATATGAAAATTAACATTTCGGGATCTTAGTATACATCACTAATTTTTATTAGCGGTACGTTTTTGTGTATGATATGTTTATTTACTTTATCGTTAAAAGTCTAAGTCTAAGTCAAAATTATTTATTTCAGTTATACCAGGAAGGCACTTTTGAACAACAACAATATAAATTTAAAAGTGAAGCTATTTGCTCATTCCAAGGTGTAGATTCCTATGGAGAAGAACGAGCAAGAAACGATACAATTTCTTATTTTTTCAATACAAATCGACTCCATGCATCCACTGTTCTGTTTATACAAATGTTGGCGAGACTTGGCCAAGGAATCGCCAACACACGCACAAACATTGGTGGCGTTGGTTTATAATTGATAATTTTGTCTAATTTGATATTATTTACTAGTTTAAAAGCTTAAAATATAACTTATACTTTATGTACTTATCAAAAGTAAGACACTCCGGCCGTTATACTGCTTTTTCGGTTGTTATTTTTGCAACTTGCAATTACTCGTGAGACGTGAGTACGTTGGCCGTGTTTGGAGCATACTAAACAAAATAAGAGCTCACTTCTCAAGTGAGCTCTTATTTGTCGAGACGATTTTCTTGCGCCGACCCGATATCTAGTTGTTATTGTTGATCGAAGGTTTAAGGTCTATGGCGCGACTGTGGCCAAAACATTAACCTCACATAGCTTAGGTATACCTACAAAGTACAATGACCAGCAAATCAACCTTTCCCAATCTGTCATTGTATTTTTAACTCTATAGCAAAACAATAAAGTTGAAAATGTAATAAAGATATGTTACAGAAAAGAGTATGTGCTGGCCACAGTACTTACGTCAGGTACTTTCTGAGTGGTATTACTCAATATAATGAGAAAATTAATTTAGTTCATATTTTTGTATTATAATTATAATTATTGTTGCCATATTGTAGTTAGGTACACGTGAAAATCTATATATGTATTTTTTTTAAAGTGGGGAATATCATCGAATGACTTCTCCGGCCTGGGTGAGGCGGGAGGGAGTGACAAACTCTTACTGACTAAAAACCACCCTGTTCCTACTCCTGTACTTCGAGCCGGAGCCCCGGTTACCCGTTAAGTTCTCCGCGGCTCTGTATGTGCATCAGCCCTATTGGGCCCCATCCGTAGCGGGTTATCACAGGGATATCATTGTCATTTATTTGACCACTACTATCATATCGAGGGGTAACGGACTATTTGGTTTAAGCGACATTTTGGGCGATTTTGAGTTATATATATATTCGGAATCAGCGAATCTTTCTCCGTCGAATATATGTAATAACTCAAAATCGCCCAAAATGTCGCTTAAACCAAATAGTCCGTTACCCCTCGATATGTAGAAGTTCTTTTTATACGTAGAAGGTATCAAACTAGAAAATCAGACGGTGTGTAAAATGATTATGACGACAATATGCTATTAATAAAATGCAATCACTGTGACTCACTGATGAACAGACATAACATAATAATCTATGGCCGCGGCGATACTATAAATAAATATACTGTAAACAAGATATACAACACATATATTTTAATTATTATTGTAATATAATACTGCATTCAATTTTTAAACGCAAGAGCGTATAGCCAAGGATACACTAAGGGGACAAATATCTCAAGACATGTATCGGCGACATGTCGAGCGAGGTTGGCCGATGTCGCCCGATACACAGAGTGTTAACGGAACGCTGACAAAAAAAATAGTTTTACAATTATTCGTTCCAATTTTAATCTTAATTATGCAACATCAGCCTTGAGCAGTTGATTACAATTATTATTACACAAAAGAGACATTTAATACCTTAATTTTATGAAAATAAACCTTGTTTTTATCATCACCTGTCAGCGTTTTCAGGACCATTCCGTTTACATCCTGTATACAGCGACAACGTGCAACTTATGTCCACAGTGACGTTAATGTTGCCAGACATGTCGACCAACGTTCGGCAACGTCGCGCTACTTCACCCGACTTCGCTGGCGACACGTGTCGCAGGACATTTGTCCCCTAATGTATCGTTGGCTTTATAACATAACTCAGTGAGAAAGTCAAAACAAATAAGTTTCATATAAAAACGTGGTATTTGTTTCTACTTGAAGCAAAGTCCAAATAAATACTCAACAATGATCAATTGCATGTAAAGAGAAGTGAACTTTATCACAAGGTATCAGACTTTCAAATCGAATAATTAATTAATATCTCACTGGTTCTACACAAGTTATGCTAAACTGCGCAATAAAAACTGGAATTTGTCACAATGCATCAAAGTTTCAATTCTAATGCTTGTTAATTATTTCTCGAGTTCTACAAAAGCATGCTAAACAAAGATTAGATTCAAAAACATGTTAATATTATTGCTATGATTCTACACGGGCATGCTCCATTGCTTATCTATGTAATGAAAAGTGAACTTTATCACAAAGCATCAAAGATTAAATTTAAAAACACGTAAATTATCACAGGCATGCTCACCAACGTAACTAAGGCCTACTGTCCACGACACGTCATTAGACGAATGCATGCAAACTACAAATGACGATTGGCGGATATAACGTTGTCGCTCTGTGGACAGTTTTTTTATTACGTCTAAGCAAGATGCAAGCATTTGTCTTTTGTAGGCCAACTTATGCATTTGTAGGATGCATGTTTTCGTCAAATGACGCGGACAATAAAGCCTAATAAAGCACCTATAGTAGCAAGTACCTATGACATGTAAGTTGTATGCAGACGGAGAGTACGGCGCGGAGTATAGCTCGCGCGGCCGCAGACAGCTTGCCACCGCAGCGCCCGCTAGCGAGTTAGTTCCCGGTTAGTGCACCCGTATATGGCGGTTAATATTAACATTATGATGTGTATGACACTAACTAATAAAAATCGAATAATTATGTAAAGAATTTGCGCAGAACTTTTGCGCAAGTGGATTAACTTAGCGCAAGAATTCGAGCAAATGTTTTTTTTAACGCAATTAAATGCACAAAAGTGTAGGTACATAATTTTAGTAACCTTTACTATTTGCGCAAGTGAAATACGTGTATTAACGAGTTAAACATTGACTTTTTCTTGAATATGGGCACAGAATGTACTGTAAGATGTTATGAAATTTATATGAATACACATATTGTTAAACATCACAGTCACTTAATGAATGACAAGCTATGAAGCTACCGTTTTAGCTCTTAGTAACCCTGATTTATGTTACATACTTATAGACAACAATACTCACTCTTTGACAGTGATAGTAGCGGGCGGGGTGTGTGCGACCCGGACGGAAGAGGGAGGCACCTCCACCACACGGATGGAGTGCGACACCGACCGCACCGTACTGCCGTAGCAAGCACCACTGTGAACAAGATTAATGGAGAAAAGTTATTTAAGTAATGTTTCACATCGGAAACATTTTGCATGCAACACTTTCAATGACAATGTTTTGAACAAATATATAAATCATTGCATTATACATATAACGTTAAAAGTCTATCTGCCGGTCACTTCCCAATACAAATAACAAACTACGGCAAACCACATCATCATTAAACAGAAGACATCCATTGCTAAGGCCTTCCCCTTAGGCCTCCACAATGAATGCAAACCACAAAAAAAATATAAAAACATCACAAGAATTATGACATAATAATTGTAACAAACAAAGATTGTAATGAATGCAGTTTCACTGACCAGTATAAGTTGGACCGCTCAAGCAGTGCGTACGGCTCCCCGTCCTCAATGTGCGCGCCGCACGCGACGCAGGCGAAGCACTCCGGGTGGAAGCGGTGCTCGCCCGCCGCCATCACCGGACCCGTTATCACCTACCGCACAACGTCACCAACTGATTCATACTATCACATCTTACTAACAATATAAATGCGAAGTATTTGTGTGTATTTTTATTACTCAATCACGTCATAACTGCTGAAGGGATAGGGATGAAACTTAGAGGTAGGTTATGATCTGCGATTAATAATAGGACTGCCCTGTGTGCATTTCCAAAGTGCATTCAGGGATAGTCGCCGGTTTATGTGTCCATTACATTTAGATTAAAGTTGTCTAAAGGGCCTCTGCGCAATTGGCTTCGGCCCCTCGTACGCCTCCCAAATGACCAAAATAAAATTTTCTCATAACGTCGGAGAGCCATGTTTGTAAATTGTACTTGTTACTACCTCTACATTAGCTGTTCCGATTGCTTACCATCAGGTGATCTGTCAGCTCGTTTGTCACCTTATTCTATAACGAAACAAGTACCTGTGCACATTGCTGGCAGCTCTCTCCATACCGTGCCCAGTAGTCGTTCTGACAGAACAGCAGACCCGCCCTCTCGAAGTACCACGTTGATAGCAGGGCATCGCAAACTGAACACCTGTATCAAAATAGACAATGGTATAGAAAAGTCATCAACAAATGTACGTTTTAACGGCACGTACAGACGTACACTAAGATTCGATTCACATTCAAGTGTGGAAGAGCCATGCTTCGGCACGAATGGGCCGGCTCGACCGGAGTGATACCACGGCCTCACAGAAAACCGATGTGAAGCAACGCTTGCGTTGTGTTTCGTCGTGTGATTGAGGTTACCGGAGGCCCAGCTGCCTCCTCCCTTCCCCAATCTCACCAATCCCTGAATCCCCAACAATCCTCAAACTCCCAAAATGGCCGGTTACGCACTTGTAACGCTCCTGACGTTCAAAGTGTCCATGGGCTATGTCCTACGCTGATAGCTTACCATCAGGTGATCCGTCTGCTCGTTTACCGTTACGTTTTTTATACGCCATAAAAAAACATCGTCGAAAAATGCGTCGCGTATCAACTACAAACATGTAATATTGACAAAACATTCAACGTTTAAAATCTAACAGATGATGTGTTAGTGGGTCGAGCATGCGCCGGTGGTACGCTCGACGTATTTTCCGTCAACTGGTCAGATGTAAAAGTAGCTTAAGGTTTACAATTCTTTACAATGCAATACAGCACATGTTTCCCTTTGTTCTTATATTTCGAATTATATCCAAACTTAAACTTAACAAACTTGGCAACCAACACACCGATCAAGGCCAAGAACCTTTAGCGACCTTTGTAGACACGAGCGAAAACATTTGGCAGCTAGCCGCAAAAATATCACAAAACTTGGACTATAATACCGAAGTTTATTCGTTCGTAAAATGTTCAAGTTCATGAAAAACTAGTCTGCCGAAATATTCCATGTTTTTCTTTGATTATGTCTTTCGTCTGAGAGATTTTGGGGTCAATGTACGCTTTTTGAGGTCCTGCTGGGCTAGACATTTGTTATTCCTTTATTTTTCTGACATAGATTTATGAGATGTGTTTTATAGGACTGTTTTTCTATTTGTCTAAGCGGATTTTCTCATCATCATGTAGGTATTTTACTATTCAATAGCAATAATTCCTGACAAGCATAGTTTGTCCTATTCTAGGAATCATGGAATTAAAGGAAACTCACATAACAAACCAAAAACTACAAATTGGGTCAATATGTTTCATCTTTCGACAAATCAATTATCAAACAAAACAAAATCGGCAAATGGATTAAGAATGGGTTTAGAAATCCATACAAGTTCAACTGCTTTTAAATAAGAGCTGAGTACCTATCTAATCTTACACTTATTCACTTAATCAAAACCTATTACTAACAGAGTAGAAACAGAAAGCTATAAAATACGACCCCTTATTGCAGGACTCCCCCCCCCCCCTTATGACGTAAAACTGCGTGTCATAAAACCACGTACTGCTAATAAAAGGGATAATGGCCTATTTTCTGACATACCTACTTAATGTAGGGGAATTTCTGAAGAAATGATTTTATTTTATTGCTAACTTCTTCGGTTATTCGAAGTTTCTCTCGCTGCACTTACATCTTCAAAAATCATCTGTCCCATGACCAAAGTCGCACAAAAACTCGTTCAGTAGTTTCTATGTTTATCGCACACAGAAGGATACGACTGTTCTTTGTTTCAAATTATAAAAATAGTTACCTAAGTAAGGATCACATGTTATCTATCGCATTAAGGACGATGAATGTGAATGATTACTAAGAAAATGTGAATAATTGCTGTTTTGTTATTTTCACTTTTATCTACACGTTTACGCATCATACTCTAAAAATAATTCTTTGACTGCTTCATTGTTCAAGTGGTTGCCATGCCCAATATCACGCAAATTGGACGTTCAGAACTTTCTGTAACAATATTAAGTCTGGATCGAATTGACTCCCATATTGTTTGTTGTGCGTAATTAGGTCAGTTTGATAGGACAGATAAATTATAGAAGAGGATAGATAGGAAAGTCCTTAGAGTAGCTTTATGAGGTCCTTAACCTATAGACATTAGGACGACCTATATGTAAGCACTTATATTCTATCATACATTATTATGATTTTGTACAAACAGTGTGGTTACTGTAGAGTATTTATTTTCGTCGAAAAAATTTGTCACCAAATCCTCCTCCTTCCAAAGGCGTCTTAAAAGATTGCACATTTAATAGAGACTGGACAGCGGCGGAATGACAACGGAGGCAGCTACCATCATCTCCGTCATCATCATCTCCGACAGAGAACCAAAGTTATTGACATAGCCCAAAGGATCAGTAAGCTAAAGTGGCAGTGGGCACATTAGTCGAAGAACCGATAACCGTTGGGGTAAACGTGTTCTACAGTAAAGACAGAGTCTAGGCAAACGTAGTGTAGGGCGCTCGTGTCCCTTCGTCCAGCATACTCACCATGGAATCCTGATATTTCATGAATGTCAAAAAACTGTTCTGAAATAGTGCTAAATAGTGCCCAAAGGAAAAAAATAGTGCTCTTGTACTTGCGAAGTTATAGCCATAGTTCGATGAGTATGCTGGACGAAGGTTTCGCCCAGCATACTCACCTCCGTCCGGAGAATCTGTATACGCTTCAAACATAATTCATACTTCAAAAAATAGTTCCCAAATAGTGCCAAACGGTGCCCAAAAAGAAAAAACAGTGCTCGAATAACTTCGGAGTTATAGGCTTCGTTCAGTGAGTATGCTGGGCGTAGGTTCTACGCCCAGCATACTCACCTCAGTGCGCGAATATCGAACGAGCTATAGGTACAATTTACGTCTCAAAAAATTGTGCTTGAAATAGTGCCCAATATCAGTCCAATTTTTGCTTGACTTTTGACTTAGAAAACCATTAAATTTTAATGTAAACTTCTACATACTAACGTAAAATGGGGTACAGTCGTCGACACATGTTTTTGGACAAAAATATTAAACTTTCTAATTGTAGACTTCATGTTATTGGAAATAATTATGGTATTTTCTCACATGTCAAAAACTTTCGATTAAATGCATTATTATATATTTTATAAATAATAATAAATGAATGAAACTTTAAGCGTAAATGAAGTCTATTACTTCATTGCATTGTGTGTTTGTCTGAATAAAAACAGTCATTTGCAGCCAATAAAATTAATATCTTGAAAAATTGTAAAAAGGAAATTATACAGTTTCTTTTTGTATATATGTTGCAGGCAAAACTTATAACCAGTCAAAACTAGTACTGTGACATAGTTATACAAATTTTTAAAACTCTTTCCAATAGTTTCATCAATGAAAGGTTTAGCAATAAAAAACATTTTTAATTACTTACGTTATTTATTACTATTTAAAGGGCCAAAGTAATCAGAATTCTAGTTAACTAGTTCACAGCTTTTGTTAACATTCATAATATAATCAATGTAAATAGAAAAAATTGTAGTTTTAATATTGTATATAATATACATATAAAAAAATGTTTAGCCAAATATTGGTAAAACTTTCTAAAATATAACACGTAACAGCAACTTTATTTTTCATGCATGATTTACTTCATTTGATATCTTAATCCTTCAAGCGCCGTGATCTAGACAAAATATATAAAATCATTGTTCCTAGCTACCGGGGTCCCATGCGACGCGCGAAGGCTTAATCATATTATTATAAAGTATTATTAAAATAATGTGTAATTAATAATATTGCGATTCTAAAGTAAATACTCCCTTACATAGACAATTAATAATTTACACAAGACAAAAATTGTTAGAAAGAAAGTTAATAATATTGTATTCGACTGTACTCAATGTAATGTATGTAGAAGTTTACAATCAAATTTAATGGTTTTCTAGGTCAAAAGTCAAGCAAAAATTGGACTGATATTGGGCACTATTTCAAGCACAATTTTTTGAGACGTAAATTGTACCTATAGCTCGTTCGATATTCGCGCACTGAGGTGAGTATGCTGGGCGTAGAACCTACGCCCAGCATACTCACTGAACGAAGCCTATAACTCCGAAGTTATTCGAGCACTGTTTTTTCTTTTTGGGCACCGTTTGGCACTATTTGGGAACTATTTTTTGAAGTATGAATTATGTTTGAAGCGTATACAGATTCTCCGGACGGAGGTGAGTATGCTGGGCGAAACCTTCGTCCAGCATACTCATCGAACTATGGCTATAACTTCGCAAGTACAAGAGCACTATTTTTTTCCTTTGGGCACTATTTAGCACTATTTCAGAACAGTTTTTTGACATTCATGAAATATCAGGATTCCATGGTGAGTATGCTGGACGAAGGGACACGGGCGCTCTCTGTGAAACAAGTGAAACAAGTGAATTTATTTCTGCAAATAGGCTACAAGGCAGCACTTTTACACGTCAATTTTATCAAGCGAACGATGAGGTCGACATTCCCTAACTGACTACTCTGAGAAGAAATGCCGAAACAAACTCAGAGGTCTGTCTCTTTTAAAGTCCAGACAATATGTATAACAGATTACGTGTGAGAACCGTGCCAGTTCTTTCTGTAGTGGCCTTTTGAGGAAAGAACCACAACAGTTCTGAAGGCAGTACGCATGTGTCGGTCCTAGCACTAACAATTGTAAAATAAAAAGTAAATGTCAAGTTAGAACAACATATGAAAAACAATGTCACATTAATTAAAACAATAATGTGAAATGTAACTATATGTTACAAACATGTCAACATGACCTGTGTGGACGTTACAGCAGCTTATTCCCAAGCCAGACTATCATCTAGGTAGTCTTTTATTTTATAATAAGTTTTACTGTAAAACTTGTCTTTAATGACATTTTTAAATTTATTTAGACTCAAATTTTGGATACGGCTGGGAATTTTATTGTAAAAGCGTATACTCTGACTTCTAAAGGAACCACTTATTTTCTTTAGTCTAGTAGTGGGAACAACATATTTCTCGTGTTTATATTATGTATATCACTATGCTTTTTAAATGTTTAATATCTAGCTAGGTGGGGTGACGACATCCGTAAGGTGGCTGGCAGTGGTTGAATGAGAAGAGCTGAAGACTGAGCTCAGTGGTGTGCCATTGGAGAGGTCATGTCTAGCAATTGACGATGCTGTCACAAGCTGATAAAGACGATGGACAGCACCGCTCTCTGACAAACCCGGACCTTTGAAAATATGGACCACATTTCATAATCTCTAGATTAAAGCAAACCCTTTATAGATGAGAGGTAGCCCATAAAGTTCAAGAGTGGACTGTCACAGGATGTGGACGTGGTTGTTATTGTGACGATCTATTTGAAATGGAAACCTATTGAAAATTGTGGTCAACCATAACTTCGTCAGAGCTTCTCCTTATAGTAGGAGATAATATTTTCCTGTTAAATTATATTATTCTAAAATTAGCCATTTATCGTTATTGTAGTATATTCATTAGTTTCTCGTTTCGTTGCTAATTTATTTTATCCCGTAGTTACTAAACCGCGAGCCTAATATTAGGTATTAATTAAAATTAAAAATATGTTATATTTTTCAAGCATTGTTTTTATAGACATAGAACAGGTTTGAGGTTGCCCATTCAAGCAAAAATACATAGTTTCTTCCAATCCGTGCGATTAATAGTTGCAGATTTCTTTAGATAGCCGAATCAATCAAAATCAGGCCTATGTGCGGACAATGTAACAAATTGTTTCCTTGCAAGTTGCAATGGACCATACTGAATAGGCTGATGGGTATATGTTCATAGAAAAAATATTAGTAGATAATTAGATATGTAAACTTACCGAAAGCAGTCTTTATGCCAGTCTTGGTTGAGTGCGGACACGTAGTCGTCGTCACCGATATCATTCAAGCAGCCTGCACACCCTGGGGACTCTGCAACACAAATTGTACTATTTAACACATTTTAAATTTGGGGTAGCCAATAGCCATGCTTCGGCACGAATGATCCGGCTCGACCAGAATGATACCATGACCTCGCAGGAAATCGGCGAGTTTCGACGAGACTGAGTTTCGTAGTGTGAGTGAAATTACTAGAGATCTGATCCTATTCAGCAAGCCCCCAGAGGCCTGTAACGCATTTGTACTTTACAAGTAGCCATTACCATCAGATGTTCCTTGTGTTCTTATGTGGCTCAGCTGGCTTTATGCCATAAAAAGAAATGATAACACATCATTACTGATAATGTAATAGGGACCTTTTTTGATTATGGGCGGGGAAACCTTCAAAATATGCCTGACTTCTTACAGAGAAAGACTAGGTAGTGAGGGATTCTTAAAACCATTTAATTATTTTATGTTTAAGCTTAAGGGCTAGCTAAATCTATAATCGGTTTAGCTGCTTTATTATTTGTACTGAATTTTGTATCCTATAATAGGGCTGACGTTTTCCGCTTAGGAAAAAAGCCCTTCTTATTATATAAAGATTTAAAAAAAACCACTAAAACCAACTCGGTGGTCACCATCAGCCCTATAAGGACTTTATAGGGTCTTATACTCAGTTATAAACTTTATAACATTAGTTTAGCTGGACTAAATCAATGTTAGAAGGAATAAGACGCACATTCACTTCAAGAGATACAGAGATAAGGGAGCGTGTGTGAGCATGTATTCATCATAGAGAATATCACTTTGAACAAAATTCTATAAATCATTATGTTTTTGAAATTGCGCGTTTTCTTTTACACTTTACTTATCATCAAGTTATTAATTTATTTTTGAGCATTTCATAAATAATTTAATGTTTTTGGGTAGCTATTAAACCAAGGAAGTTTTTCTAATAGTTTGTATGCTTAGTGTGATATAAATTTTTTAAACTAATTGCAGTTTTCTATTTACCAAATTAGTGACTCGAAACAAAATTTGATACAAATTTACTTGCTATTTTAATACGAATCATATTTCTGCCAGTATTAGTATTAATAAATGTTTATTGATAACAAACTAAAACTAAAATCACTTATCAAATCAGTAGTTTTCTATTTAATGATGTTTTTGTAGTTTGCTCGGGATTTTTTTACCAAAACCGACAATGTTGAATATCTCAGAAACTAGCCACTTTCGGACTAGAGACCTCGGGGCTATTTTTGTAGGAAATTAGTTGTATTATCACCTTCCGAGAGGAATACGTCGAGTTACAAGTCACCCTGTATAAAATAAAAATAAATGGTTTTAAATATATGGTGCAGACTACAGAGTACCACTTACTACATATTTTTGCTTTATAACATATTACTTTAAACTTTATGTCTCCATAGTCCATACTGATACCACGATCTCACAGAAAAAACCGACGTGATACTTGCGTTGTGTTTCGTCATGTGAGTGAAGTTACTGGAGGCTTAATTACCCCCTTCTCCAATATCCCAATCCCCAAGAATCCTCAAATTCGTAATCCGCGAAAGCTTGGTAACGCACTTGTAACACCTCTGGTATTTTGAGTGTTCAAGGGTGGCACTGATTGCTAACCATCAGGTAGTCCGTATGTTCGAATTTCGATTACTGGCTTATTCCATAAAAAAAATTAAAATCATCATAACGAAATAAGTAAGGGATACAAAGAACATTCAAATAATCATCCATACGCTTTTTCCTTAAAGTTTATCATGTGTCATTCCCTGATTCATAACTCATCGATGTTATATACCTTTAACACCCTCTGTTAAAGGATAAGTACTTAAATAAGACAGATAGTTTGGTTATAAAAAAAAATAAAGGAGGTGGTCAATGTAGACTTACAAAAGAGTATTGTTAAAGGAGACTATGATTGTCTATGACATTCGAGATTATTTTTTTCCTCTCAGTGTAGCTGATTCAGAAACAACAGCTTCATATTCATCCAGTTTAGATTTAAAGTATTGACATGCAATAGTGCAATTTTGTATCTTATTAGAAAAAGTTATTGATTATACATACTACAAGGTCACAACCTCCCAAAACTGCTGCAACTCCTGTAAGCCAGGATCTATAGTAGATACAACCATGAAAATACCGGAACACTTAAGTCCGGGGCGTCCCCGAAACATGAATAATTGTCTTAGTTCCAGCAATGCAGTGAATCAGAACATATTATAAGAGGAGAAGAAAACAACAATAGTTTCCACTTCCCTTGGTGAATTACTGCAGGAGACAGAATGAATTAAGCCTAAAGGCACAAAAGAGACTGCACAACTGGGAGAAGCCCAACTGGGCTGGCGTCTGCCAGGCACCACGGAAATTTGACTAAAAACTAATTTGACTACAAGATCAGTGCATGAATACTAAATTAGTTTTGGACTGTGAAAATGAACCTCTGGAGATTAATGGTTGAGGAACTCATCACAGGATGGTTTCCCCACAAAAACTTAAATTACAAAAAAGTTATAAATCATGCTTATAGAAGAATGAACTTTTGCTAATTCAGTCTGTAACTCTATAGACATAGTCATAATTTCAGCAAACACTTGGCTACATGGGTACAAATAACAATATTATTATTTACTAGACAGATCTTTAACAAACTTTAGTTACGCAAAAAAACCAGTTTCATCTAATGTTTGTTATTCATAGAATAAATTAATTTAAATATGTCTTAAACCAACAAAATATATTTTGTTCATAACTCTGTTTTTTAATCCATGAATTTTCTTAAATGGCCCTGAACATCAAATACCTTTCTAATAACTTTATTACAACAAGGTATAATACAAATATTATGTTATCCTTCAAATGCAAGATACAGATGTAAACATTGCAATTGTCAACTAAGGAAACATTTTAAACACTTTTTCAAGTTCTATTTACAATCTTTTCTAATATAACTTTATTGTAACTTGACGTGCAGTAAGTTGAACTTAAGTTACACAAGGCGAGGCAGGACAAACAAAAGATAAACCATGATAACTTATAAGAATCGCCCACACAGTTCTCATGACAGATTCTAAACACAAAACATACGTAAATATTAATTTTACACAACGTAATTTGCAATATAACGAGTTTCAAGACTTACCTTTAACATTTGGCCCCTCCATTTCATTTCAAAAAGGAATGTTTATTCATAAATTGTATGTTATAATTACTAGAATTACATGCTTGAGATTCCAATACTTTGTGAATGACGTAAAAGACAGAACTCAGTGATTTAATAGGATGACACATTCATGTAAATGTTGCTAGCTTCATAAAACAAAGTTTGAAATTAAGGAAAATTTTAATATGATATTAAAAAAGTAAAGGTAAATAAAAAATAATGTTTTTCTATATTAAATTGGATTTACTTCATTTCGTAATGGTAATAAATAACTTCAGTAAAAATTATTTTGTCTTTGATACATTGCATTGCTTCAAAACTTTAAGGCTTACATTTTATTCATTTAATTAATGATGTTTTTTAATTTCTGTAACTTTTTCTTTCTCTTCCTTGTGTTTGTATTTGTCGAACCTGACCTTGACTTTAACTTTAACTTCGAGACGTTTAAGAAGTTCTGACATTTCATCATCTTCGTTAGAATCGGAACAGTCAGAATCATCACCGCCGTCTCCGCCAGAGCCTTCTTCGTCATTGGGAGTTGTTATATGATAGTCTTCAGTAGTCGGCTGAACAGGTGCAAAGGTGGTAACATCAGGGATAGAACTTGTAGGTTTTGAATCAGGGAAAGTAGAAGTAGGGCGATCTGGTTCAGGTGTAGTTATAGGCACCGTCTCTGTTGGGCTAGGAGTTGTAGGACTAGGGGCAGGAATTGTAGGGCTAGGACGGTAATCGGGAGTTGTATTGTAGTCAATTTCAGGTGTAGTTATAGGCACCGTCTCTGTTGGGCGAGGAGTTGTAGGACTAGGGGCAGGAGTTGTGGGCTCATCTTCAACTAGATTTTCAAAATCAATGCCAGTAACTTGTTCAAACCAATCAAGATACGGCCCCGGACGAATGAAACCTAAAAGGAAACATTGTATTCATATTAAAATCACAGTTATATCAAGTATTTCGGTAGCGGAAGCCGAAAATGTAAATAAATATATTACCAGCGGGAAGACCAGAGTGACAACCGAAGTTTCCACCAGCTACGAAGGAGGTCACACCGATAAGAGTCGGAACACTGTCAGAACCAACATGGACAAGTGGACCACCGCTGTCTCCCTGTGAACATGAAATTAATGAATTAATAAAAATAAAACAAAACCTAGGTTTACTAAATAAATAACAAGTAAAAACCGACACCAGTAATCTAATGTGGCAGTGGATTATATTATATTTATCGTAGACCCCATGATCATTGAGTGTAACTCGTCCAGAGGCAGATATGTTTCTCCTTTACTCCTTCAATGTTTGATATCACCCTGACTCGTAAGGATTTGAATTGACAGATGCGCCATGGCTACTTGATAGGATGATTACCTGACATGTTGACTGAGAGGTGACGTTGAAGAATCGTGCGCAGATAGAGGTCTCAATAATGATGCCACTTGTGAATGTGCTGCCACAGGCCTGGTTCGAGATCGCGGTCAGGTACACCCATCGCAAAACCTCGGTGACGGCGCCTAGTATTGAGAAAATATTACGTGTCTAGAAAAACTACTTAAATGTATATTTAAGAATAACGATCATCGTAAGTTATTTAAACACTACTCTATACTACTAGATGGGTAATCACGGAATCTAACATGTGATTTGTAGTCGCATACGGAACATTTCATAATTTTTATCTTTAAAAAATATTGTGCATGTTTTATTTATCTATACAAAATTAGACATTAGCCACCTTCTGGTTTTTCAGTGTAGATTATTTTGTTTTTTACTTATCAATAATATCAGATCAATCTTGATAGCATTTCCTACCGCAGTAATTATTAAATTGTGCGAAACGTTAGATAGAGATCTGTGTTGAGTTTGTTCTAATGATAATTGTTCGATTATATTAATGTTTTTACCCAGCGAAGTGAGTAATAGAAAATACCTATTACACGTCTATCAATTCCTGTAAAAGATAAAGATGTGTTATTGTTATCTATTTAGACAGGACCGCTTCATCGATACATAAGTGTCAAACTACGACCTAATTAATATTAGTTAAATGTTTTATTAGAAAATTATTTGTTCTATTTAAAAGTATGAGATATTTCCAGGATCGGAACATACATTTACATTCCAGAAGCACACTACATACCTATTGGTAACAGTAAAATTTACGGGTTAATAACTTTATTTCCTTTTCCGTTTTTATTTTTAAAATTGTGTAAAAGATACTGACCTCCAGTCCATGTCCTGCCGTGTCCACTGGCGTAGACTACTGCTCCTTCATAGTTGCGATACGCGTCAGCTCTCGGTTGAATGCGGATACGTTGCAGACGGACTGTCAATGTAAATATTACAATCAAGAAAATTATAACAGCATTGTTACATTATTTTTGATGGTCTTTAAGTATAGAAAATAAAAATAGAACAACAAAAAAGGTTCGTTAGTTTTTAGGCCCCTCATAAAGAACGGTTGGCCAGAATTGTTATTTTAGATTGATGGATTTGTGAACTACTAGTTATAAAGCTGGACACCAATTTCGAATCTATATGAAAAAAAAAACAAATATAGTTCTCTTACAGGAATATGTGACAGGGCTCTGGAGCTTGACAAGACCGATATCATGGGGTTGTACAACAGTTGGTCGGTTGTTGTCGTACAGCGGGTGGTTGTAGTATTCAGTCGTCTCGTGGATGTACTCCGGGTCGGTAAGGGAGACAACACCTCCGCGGACTACTATTGTAACACGACTGCAAAAGTCAAAGACTGGTTAGAACATATATCATTAATATTCTAGAGGTATAATACCACCAAAGACCAGTAGCACACATTGCCATGGGTACTTTAATCTGTTTACAAAGTAGCCCTATGATTGTGGTACTTTGAACCTTAAGGATCCTCGATTTTATACCAAGTCGGTGAATACCCAATTTTACGTGGTAACACTAACAAGGAAGAATTTTGTAAAGATCGCAATAGATGATGTATATCCTCATATAGGACATAATATATATTATTATAGAGTTTATGTTTGTGCCCATTGGCCAACTACAATTAAACTTCTCGGCCTTTTGGCTAAGATCAAAGTGTGTACAATTAAACTGTCATCAACATAATACCAATAAATAGATTTATTTATTAGTTATTACCTATCTCTTAAGAATATTTCGTAAGAATACACTTTTATCGCTATTCATCGCCAAGTATATTATGTGTCCTTTATTTTTACTTGAAACCTAGTCACGTAGTCAATAATTTCTCGTCACTTTCACTTTTTTGCATCAATATCATTAGAATTTTTCTACATACCCAGCAGTACAATGAGCAGCGGTGATGACCCATTCCTTGGACGCGAATGATCCTCCGCAGCCACCTACACTACCAGTAGGGTCTACCATTCGAAGAGCAGCATGGTGTGGGTGCTGGCCAGGCACTGCCTCCCATCCCGACACGATACGAGACCCCGAGTTTACGGCTTCCTCCTCTGTAAAAAGAGAGATAACTTAGGAAGAGAACAATGGCATATCAGAGTAGACGTTAGTTCGAGATCTATAAAGTAGATGGAGCTCAAAAATCAGAAAATGTAGCAAATACAGCCAACAGAAAATCTAGGTAATCAAAAATGGTGAAATAGGCCCTAAGCGTCTTACAGTTTTATAACCTTCTTAAATAATATGCCTGTTGGTTGGTTGGTAATGTAGTAGCTTTTTACATATTTTACTGTATTTTCTTTGGTTATATTTATAAACTTAAAAATTATAAATGTTTAGAGTTACTAACCGTATTTGATTACATTTTCGATGAAGTCAGGTTGCACTTCGGTGTAGCGTGCTGATACCTGCAAAAATAAAGAGCATACGATGAAATAGGTACATATGTATGTAGGTATGTACCTACTAAAAGAATTTCGCTAGTGAAGAATATTTATTTCGATACCCATTTAAAAACCCTGCATGAACAGGTTTTAACAAGTCGCGTATTATAAGTCCTGAAAAGAGTAGACAGAGGTGGATATATAGCAAGTATCAATCACTTTTCACCAGTCCAATGTAACAGGGGTAAGCCTCTTGCCATAAAACAACTCCTTGTACTAACAGACCAGTAGGACCTAAACTGATTCCAGCGAGATGTGTATACCTAGTATTGTACCTACCTGAAGTATCGTCACCAGTAACAAGAACAAGCCTGTTTTCACTAACATCTTGGCAACCACTGCTTGCTGCCGAAAGCAAAGCTACTATTTTAACTTGTTTTTCGGATTAGAATCTAATCACAATAATTACAGAGATCAAAATCAATTAATTAACACGATAAGATAAATAAATAAATGATTCTGTTAATATTTGCCGACAATTCGATAAGTTTTGATTCGTCATTTGTAATCAATTTATTTTGTACTATTTATCCGGCCCGGATTCATTGCTTTGTAATTCCCAACTTCTCTGGGTTTCCATTTTCTTTAAACTCATTACATAATTTAAAAAAGAACCCTTCTATGTCGAGCCAATCCAACTCCCTACCCTATTTAACATTAGCTTCGGTTTGTTGTTTTATTTAAGTTTGTGTAAAGCTCAGAATCTGACACTTTGCTCGGAATGATAAAATGTGCTTAATTGATGAAGGCCGAGGTAGAAGTAGCCGGGATTGACATTCATTTGTAGGGATCAGATAAATTTTCTAGATCTGTACCTATCTACCTATTACTAACTTACCTTTCTTTTGACGCCAGTTCTTTGTTTGCCTCGGACTAACGATACACCTCTGTGGTACCTGGAACACATTCAACCTCAGTGTCCACTAGGTACCATAATTCAATTAAAATTACAAACTTAGGTACGTACATAGGAACATAATATCTAATGTAAACGTACTACTAATAAAATATGCATTGTCCTATCAAGATAAAAAAATATAATTTGATTCAGTCCTAGGTGTTATCTGTATACCCATTGATCAATATTAATTAATTATCAAAAAATATATCAAATAAAGACTGCAGGTTTTTTGATATTTTCATAATTAAGTGACCATTTGCGATCTTAGGAAACATGTAGCTAATTGGATTTGTTTTTGTAATTATGTCAATATTGCCAAATCTTCGTGTTTAATATCTCCTGTTTTATTTATGAGGCCATAGTCTTCCCCTACCTGAGTGGAGAGGGTTGGTCATAATTTCCACTTAGCAGGTGGGTGGATTGCCACATGAGGGATAGCAATAATCTCCACACTGGAGCTCAGTAAGTGGGTTGGAGATTGTAGTGCGCTATTGCACTTACACTATTGCAGAACCTATGTTCTGGTTTATCTGAGAGCATTGCTACCCGATCTCTATCAAATGCATGGTCTCTTGTCCAGTCAGAAAAAACCCCGGATAGATATTCACGACCTACCTAAAGGGAAAACCCTTAATAGTTATAAGATTATCTCAATTTATCTTCAGTTTACACTTAAGTGCTTAGATTTTAGCGTTAGATGAATCCAAAGTTGATTGTAATCAGTCCCTGATTAGGTAGCATAGTGTGCACGTGAGTGCGAACTTCTAATGAATTCTAGTAATATAGCGTCATATCTATTAATCCCCTTAAATTAATTAATAAGTCAGTTTACAAAATAAACGCCTACGTAATTAGTTCCACGTATTTCAGGCCGTGCCTCTCGCCATACGGCATTACTTCGGTCAGCGTCCTAAACTGGAATATTTTGTTTACTATTAAATAAAAGCCTTCTTCTAAAGTTAGGCTTCATCATAATCCCCATACTTGGTAGGCGGCTTGGGAACGCATAGGTGGCTGAGTAAAGTTTTAGGCACACCTAGGCCCATCATAACATATTTGTTGACTTTTACATCAACGAGTTCTTTATATTATATTCGGTATATCAATATGATTCATGGTTAACATACCTTTTAGGGTATATTTTAAGGTATAATGCACCTAATAACCGGAAGTTATATCTTCATGGTGATATGATCAGATCTTTAGTATTCGTGTGGTAGGTCCATGCGAACACTAAAGATTTGACGCTACCTATGATTTATTATTGCAACGTATTTCCAGATGAAGATGTCTCAAAATCGGACAACCCCACTTAGAGAATATAATGTTTTCCTGTACGTACTGTGTTCTTTTTCCTTGTGAGCCTCTGCTCACAGGCAGATTAGGCAAAGACAGAGGCATCTGCCTAATATTAAGATATTTTCAGGCCGAATACAATAGTTAGGCGAACAAACGCGGACTTAATGATGATGAGGAAGGTAAACTATTTGACCGTTGGCATTAGTTTAACTTACAATTTTTCTTTTCTTTAATCAAAGTTTAAACTTATAATTTGTACATACAATAGGCATTTTTGAAATATCAAGTAGGTGGGTATGTTAGCCAGTACAAAGTTTACCTTACTTATAACATAACAAGCGAACAAGCTACAATACCTCCTTCCAAGTTTAAACCACAGTGATTTATAAATACCATCTGACGTCACAAACATGGTCATAGTTCCGTCACCTGTGTCACATGTCATACTACGTCACTGTTTTTATTCTCCGAAATGTAATTAGTTAATTGAAATAAAATCAAGATTCAATAATTACTGAAAACAACAGCTATTGTTACCTAAACTGAATTAATTAACAAAGCCATGTCTTTTATAGCCATTTGTGGGCTCAGTAGCCAACCAATGGTTACTGGGTCTGTACTGAATCATCAATGTTTATTTCTGTACGTGCATACTAATTAACTGGATGGACTGTACAATAAGGATATAACCGACGTCATTGACCGAGTCATTTGGAAGTAGATTCACTACGTAAGTGGCATTGGTCTCGACGTGACACTAGACATGTATCAATGAGTTAATTGACAAATACGGCATGTTTCAAGGAGAGGCCCCGCACACTTTGCAAAATATATAAAGAGTCCGGGTGTGACTCGAAAGTAGTAGAGCTTTTCACGTAAACCGTATTTTAAAAATTAATTTATAATAATATATTTATTGTCTCATCTCAAGATAGTTATATAACAAAATATAACTTCTGGAGTAAAACTATACTTGGTAACATAAAGAGCGGGTATTTAAAGAAAACAAATATAGAAATATCAGATACATTTAATATAAAACAGTCACTGCAACAAGTTATCACATACACCGTCACGATGACCAGGCTGGCTCACTGGGCTTAGCTACTGCATTCTACATATATTCGTACAGATCAGAAAAATTTTAGGATGATAAGACAAACTCTCAAATGAGATATGAAATATGGTGAATGAGTATGGAGGTAAAGAGTTTGGGCATTCGAGAATGTTACGTGGCTAAGAACGGACCCGATACAGTTTTGTATGATTTGTAAAGGGCAGCATTAACAAGAGCAAAGGAAAGAATAAAATTTGTAACTTGAAAAAGGATGGAAGAGCCTTACTACATATATGGTATATGTATATGAGTATGTAGCTGTTGGCATTATTATATACAAGACAACAGTTAAAATTCTATTCCAATTTATAAATATCTATAACAATAATATTACGTTTTTGTCGCATGCCCAGCTTGCCAGCCTAAAAAACTACATAATTAGATTTTTAACACTGGTAACACTATCGTACATATTGTACACACACATTGCTAACACAAATGATGTTCAAATAATTTCTCTATTAATTGTTGTTACAATGTTATAATCAATTTTATCAATAAAGCAATGTTTGATGACGGCCTATAACATCTTTGACGGTTGTATTATTAATTTGTACACTTCTATTTAAAACCGAGATTTAGGTAGTATCAAATTGCTGTTTCCAGCTATATTTTTTTTAATTTTTTATTTTGCATTTTTTATAAGTAGAAGAATCGTGGTTTTTTTTAAGTGTTGAATGCCGGTAAATAACTAAAAGTAAATCTTCCGCTAACTATGCACATATGCCGTACATAAAACACTTGAAGAATTAAACATCTTGATGCAATAGGCCGCAATGTAAACTACCACCTCTAATAATAAATCTAAAAAACAATAATTTACACATTTTCATCTAGAACTAGGCCATAGAACCTATTCCATAGGCCTCTATAGGAACATAACGCTCAGACTTAAACCGTCACACAAACTTCAAACATTTCACTAAGTGCATTAAAACCCTATTACATTTAAGCTCATTTATTTTAATACATATAAAACCGTAATCTATGTGTTGCGCTAAACTCACTTATTGCGCTATGAATATAAGCATTTTATATCAACTATTTTACTTTAATATCATTCAATTACAATTAATCAATGTATTTCAACTCACCAGATGGCTCTACTGTGGCTCTCTTATATTGTGTGCCTTTCATCTAACAAAAAATTACTAATTGGGCCTCCTACAACCTCACTCACACGACGATACACAACGCAAGCCTTCTTTCACGTCGGTTTTCTGTGAGGTAGTGGTATCACTCCGGTTGAGCCAGCCCATTCGTGCCAAAGCATGGCTCTCCCGCACTTGACACTTGATGTTCAATTTTTGACAGCTACAGTGTTTTGACAAAAATCTTTTTGCTAGATTAGCGTAATCTGGTAAGCAAAACAACTGTAGCCTTCATTGCGCAAACATTAATTAGTTGCGCAAGTTTGCGCTAAACTCAGCGCAACAAGCCAGTATTAGCGCAACTTGTATGAATAAAACGTTCTAATTTCCGTTACAATTGGAGTTACGATAGATCTATTTTGGAGTTTAACAGTTATTTTTAACATACAAGTAATAAATGCTGGTTAAATTAGACTATTAAAATAACTAAATGGTTTAAATATTTCCTGCATATGTAAACTGGAAGTTACGAGTTAAAAGTATAAGTTTTATTAGAAAAAATATCAGGATATCTAAGTTTTAAGTATTCGCAAACAATGTGAGTAATAAAAAGCTTTATAAAAGTCTTAATTCTATTATAAAATGCGATTAGTAAAGATCTCGGAGAGTTTTAGTATGGAATGAATTTATTTTGGCATACCGGAAGTAAATTGGTTGGAAGAATTCGGTTCGCATTCACACGTACAATGTACATAATAAATAATTTACTTTATAGACTAAATAGCTAGAAACAATAATTATAAAGCCACAACGCGCCATTAAGTAACAAAATAATTTCTACAAACAAACAAAATCACCAAAATCCAAGAAAGGAAAATTGAGTAAGGTTACCTCTGTTTAAATGTTTCTAGAAATAACCAATTTTAACATCTATCCCGTTAGCCATAAAGCTTCCATTCGCACGCAAGGAAGGAGGACGCAAAAAACAACTACTAAAGAAATTACTTTCTCCAGTCCCAATTAGTCTTATGGCTACAGGAATAGAATACAAAATTGGTAGCATTGAATCACAAAGTAATCGAAAAATATGTAAACAGATAATAAATTCAACAAAATTAGCCTCAACGCATTATGACAAAATTTTTAGTAAACAAACCAAAACCATAGTGGTAGTATTCATTTTACACAGAGATTCATCATCACGCATTTCATAACATTAAGCGCTAAAACTTTGCGCGTTTTTCACTTAATTTTAACAATGACACCAATACGAGATAATAATATAAGATGCATTTACGGTCGAAATAAATTACCGATTCAAAAATCTTTGGATTGCAATCGATATTTTATATTGGTTCTGTGGCGATGCATATTGAAGATTTAACTACAGAGATGACGTCATAATCCTACATCACCCTTATAAAGCTTACACGCGATTAAACATGCATAGAAAATCCCAACGCATGACTGTTGGGCAGTCGCAAGCCAGACATGACTACCTCGCTTGGTTGGAGGTCACCTTTTCCGATCTTATGAAACTTTACCCTCTGTTTCCTGAAGTTCTATTGAAATCCTGTCAAAAACAGGTCAATCGAAAGATTTTGGATTGAAAGAGTTATTAACTTCGACCGAAAATTTAAAACTGAAGTAACTTAACTTCAGTTTTTGACAGTATATAAAATTATATATTGGTGTTATATATACCCTTACAGTTTATCTGACAGACTGATTCATAGATTTGTGCATGTGTTATTAGTATGTTCATCTTAATAAGTGACTCATTTCATAGCACATTTTGATAGGAAGGTGATCATTATTAAAGCAAAATTCAAAGCTGCCATAATATAAGAAAATGATAATAAACCAATCAGCTAATTTTTAAAACTTTTTGAACAAAGTAGAGTCATCCATCACTATAATTAGCAGCCGTTTACTCACTAGACAATTGCAAATGGTGTAGTAGTCTAGCATACTTAAAACGACACCAGCGCCATGCAAAACTCAGTGACTTATTTATTTCTTTTTTTTACAAATAAATCCCTAAGTATCATTGTTTGAAAATACTGTTCAGAGGCAAAAAAGTATCAGACGGCCGGCCAAAAACAAAGATAATCGAAACGAGATCACGTTCGACGTTGTAATTGGCCGACTCCAATGAACCAACGAATCAGAACCCGAACGTGCCTTGTTTCGATATCTTTAAACGTAAAACAATTCGTACTAAGGCCTCTGATACCTTTTTAACCTTTTATTATCTAAAATGATTGCGACGATCCACTTTACTATCAAAATAAGCCTTTGTAACATGTAAACATTGAATTAATAGACAGCAAACATTTATCAACAGTAAGCTACACCTATGACATATAATATTGTGCTGTTAAATACATTTTGTATATAAACCACATACTTAGCAAAATTTTTATTAGAGAAACAACAATTTTACCATAATTTTATAACATTATGTTATGGGGCCAGCCAATTGTCCAACTTCGGCTAAAATTATCGAAGTTAGGAGCCTAAAAACTTCGACGTATTCATGTAAGTAAGAATAAAAATATAATTAAAAATATAATGTAAAAATAAGAAATAGAAAATGTATAAATACTTGCGGACCATTATTGTGCTTTGGTAAAAGGCAGTTTTAATATTTTTTTCATAAATATAAAACAATATGCAGAAATGAGACTTCTAATTTTATTTACAATTTATTGGAAGATACTTTTAGGCGTATACTCGAAAATTAAGATAATTCTTTCTTCTCGAGAACTCGTAGTTACGTTGGCTAGGCCGTAAAACGTCAATCTATTCAAAATGTGAATTCTAGACAAAAATTGAGGCAATAATCGAGATTACCGGTAACTGTACGAAGTCAAAATATATTTATATTCGAGATAAATATTCGTTTACGAATTCTGTATACAATAATGACTTAGAAATATATATTTATTTAACGTGGCCATATCAATTTTATTATTATATTTCTACCTAAAACGACTTTACTCGATGAGCTTCAATTTATTTCGGTTTCGACCAAAATTAGTAACAGCACCATCTAACGTCGGACACGAACAACATCAACTACATTTCCCATCAACAGATGGAGCCACCAACAAGCAGTCTTTTCGCTTTGCTTGGAGCCAATGTTGGTAGAAACTATTATTTAATTAACAGTGCCATAGCAATTCTAGGCGACAATAGAACTGCAACACATGTTTGTACCACAGTCTATAATTGAATTTAGTAAAAATAATTTGGCGTTAAATATTAACATAGCTCATTAGCGCCATCTATGAATCGCTCCCAGTACTATCACGCCATCAGTGCTACCAACATGAGCTCCAGAACAAAGCTACAACATAACAGTAGCTCTAACAGAGCCAGGCCGCGCCAGACCAACTTTACAGGGGACATAACGAGACTATTATAAAAGACCAAGGTTTGCAAAAATAATACTGCTTTAGAAATGTTAAAAGCGTCTCTCTTGTTTACAGCATGAAGACTATGGGTATTGAAAAGGCATAAAATATGTGAAAAATATTTGAGATATTCGAGATTCAACTAGCAGTTTCAGATCTAGAATTACCAATTAATACTTGAGAGCATAAAGATGCAAAACTTGATCTCTTTACATACTCATTGCAATAATTTTGTACAAACGTATCCATGGCATACGTGTGATATAAATATTACAAACTGCACATAAAACGACCCGAATTTATGAAAATCAACCTTGAAATTTTGCATTAAAGTTCAAAATTGATTGAATCAACAGCCTGTTAAATATACTGATACATGGCTACATTTGTACAAGAATGGCATGACATATAGTCCCCTTGGCTGGGCAGTGCGAGGTGTCCTAGTGGTGCCGGCGCCGGCGCCGCGCCTGGCATCAGCTCCGTTTGTGCGCCTTCCCGGGCGGCGCCGCGCTGCACTGCGCCGCGCCGCCCTGCGCCGCGCCGCACTGCGCCGCGTCACACTGCGCCGCGCACGGCAGGCTGCTGGCCGCCACGTCCCCGCCGCTGAAGGAAGCTGACTTCTTACCTGTCCCGAACAACATCTTCAACGCGCCCGCCGACATCAGGTAGAACCAGTATAGTTGGGGGAGAAGGAGGATGCAAATTGATATCTTACAGCCCGTCGGTAGGGATCTTATTGCCTGGAAATAAATGTTAAATTTGTTTGAAGTCTAATAAAAGTAAAACGGCATTATAAAGGTAATGTATAACTTGTACAAAAGTAACTAAGGATTAAAAAATGCAGTACTAAGTGCAACCCAATGAACTAATTTACAATCTTATGTTTATTAATCGCACTTGCGACTAGAAGACTCATGAGATAGTAGAAAATATAATAAAATTAACAGAACTAATATTTATTTTATAAACATCGGATAAAAACATAAAATACTCACATCAACATAAGACAGTCCTAGAACTCTGCTGTACATGAGACAGACGTAAGGCAAGCTGAGTACTCGACACACGAAAAACGTAAGCAACATCAGTATGCCGTTGACAATGTACAGCCGAGACGATTTTAACCTCATCCGGGATAGGATCCCGCGAACCGACACGAATGGCGTCGACAGCTCCATCAGGTACACGAAACCAAATGTACAGTCGCCTAGGTTACCGCGTAGATACTGAAAAAAGGGAAACATATTTATACATATGTAATTTTTAGAGATGTAGCGACATCTATATTTTATTCCCAATAACTTTTGCTTATTTATGTAGTTTCAGTCACAAATCAAGAGATGGCGTGTTAAAAACATTTTGTTTAGTAAATTCAATCCAATGTCATTCAGATTTTCATCAGGCTTTTTCCCAATTAAGTACTTTTTAACTTAGCATTAAAGCTCATAGCATTAAATAATCTGATGAATTTTAGTATTTTGCATAATCCATTAAAAATGACAACTCAGTTAAACAGATCACAAGTTGAGACCAGACCACAACTTTTGGAGCAATTAATCGAATGTTAGCATTTTTGCAGATTGTAAAATCTCCAACTCACCACAATGACAAGGAACCCGAAGCCGCCGATGAAGAGATGGTGCATCAGTATGACAGGTTCATGTTTGCAGTAGTCTAAGAAGGTAGTGCCTTGCTTCTTCTGTACTGTGCTGTCGCCAGATGAAAGTGGAGCCGAGCCGTTCTTAGATAGACGACGTTTTGACGAGGAAACCTCTGGATTGGAGTTCATTTGGACGTGCACCTTAAATTAGGATGATGACAGGGTATGTAAATTAAAAATCTATTTATTTAGTCCGTAAGTAAGGTAATGAAAAAATATTAGACACGTATTTTTTTTATTTTGTCGTATAATAAAACAATACTTAGATAAAACGAATCAATGTTTAGGAATGTACATAGAAGTGACGTCACGCGACATTTCAAATCAATATATCGTCGAAAGTAGTCGTTTCTGTAAAAAAAAATATGTGTCTAATGATTTAAAATAACCTACCGACATTAAAATAAAAACTAGGCATCTACCCTATTGAAACGGATTCTTTGAATTTTTTGAAATCTTATTGATCACTGTTTTCTTATATTCATGTTACATGTTGGTATCATCCACCGCTTTATAACCAGCTGACGATTTAATTGCTTAAAAATATTATGCTGCCTATAAATTAGATGACTTTAACACACTCTCTGAAGCATTTTATTTTTTTCTTTGTGCTAGATGATAGGAAATTGGTCATGAATTTGGTTTACAGACCAATAGTTTGAGTGTTTACTCACCATGTACATGCTCCATATATCGTAGAAGAAGTAGGCGGCGCCGAACCAGGCGTAGGCCTCGGACATATAGTGGGAGCTCCGCATGAAGTCGCGGGTGCACGACCAGAGGCACACAATTGTCCCGGTCACGCACGAAAGAGCTGCCTGCACCGCAGATACTAATCTGCAAACATACACGGATAATGAGGAAAGCTTTCAAAGATTCAAGAAACGTACCTCCTTTCTGAAGGGCCGGTAACGCACTTCTAAATACAACTTCTGGTGCTGCGAGTATCCATTATCGACTACAATTAGGTGATCTGATTGCTCATTCGCTAAATTCATAATTCGGAATAAGTCCGCTATTAAACAAAGGCCGACCTTTTTTCGACTTTAAGAAAGTACCTCCACTATTATGTTGAAACTATGTTTTTTTTTCAAACTGCTCATAAGATTATATCTATTTTCCTTTCTGTTCTTTTCTTTACCTTTCCTAAAGAGTATTAAAAAACCATAACATCATGTAAACCACAAATACATACTTGTTGGTAATATCGAGCACGTCACCGCAGCTGAGGCGATACTTGTGTCTGAAGCGTGCGCCGGCGCCGGTGGAGAGCGCCAATGAGTTGAGCAGCTCGAACAACGTCATGAAGTAGACGAAGCCGAGCGCCGTCAGCGCAGCGCCGCGCTTTACTGTGATCCTGGAACGAGGATGACAGAATAATAAGATAAGATAGAATAATAAGACATAATAGGGTTGTATTGTTAGTTATTTACCGGAAAGTTTTTTATTTAATAGTATCCTCCATGGAAATCTTAAAAAATATGCTCTGTTCGGGAATCGAATACGCGTCATAAATGTAGCCCAACCGCAGGGTCAAATGTGCTGACTTTGGCAACCGTTTAGGCAACGTGCGACCGACGTCCGGTCCGTCCGCCTTCTACAAGATGGTAACCTCTGGGGTATCGGTGATATACAAACACTAATGTTGTGTATAAATGTGTAGGTATGTTTATTTGTCCTTCTTTTGCATAAATAAAGTGATTAAGATGTTTTCTAGCGATAGTTAAGGGGCCGGAAACTAAAACAAACTGCTTCATTCAGCGAAAAATGATTCCCAATATAATGAAAACAAAACTTCTATAATTTTTACTTCAAAGAAACATTAAAACTTATTTGAACTAAGAAAATTCGAGAGTCACACGAATAACCAGTTCAAACAATACAAAGTATATTTTAATTAAGTATCATCCAAACTTATCAAGATTATATCAATGCAAACAAACACTGACGATAACGGCATAGTAAAATCTTAAGTTTTATCTTTTAACAGACATCACAAATAATCTGCCAAAAGTAATTTTGACAGCTAGCGATTACATGTGTGGGCCCCCAAGGGTTTACAACAAACGAACAAGATACAGCCACTCAGTGGGGGTCAGGTCGAGAGTCGGGTCATACTGCCCAAGTCACTTCAGTGGAAAACATTAACAACTACCAGTAACAGTTCAAATTCAAATTCAAATTCAAATTCATTTATTTAATTGTGAACATAGGTAACATTATGGTCTTAAATAACAATTTTAAACGCTATGTTGGCTTTTTCAGCATACAAAATTAGAAAATAGTTGGAAACAAAGATTTGGATTGATTATTATTACTTAATGTCATTAGAATTATTAATTATTAGGTCACATAGGATTAAAAATTTAAATGTCACAATATTAAACAATCAGAATGTCAATAGTTAAATAAAAACAAGATAAAAATTATTAAATAAAATAAAAATACAATAAAAATACATCATATTTTGTCGTCTAAGTACTCAGTAACACTATAATATGCCTTAGAGATTAAAAACCTTTTTATTCTATTTTTAAAAACCTTCAAAGATTGTATATGTAGCAATTCGTTTGGCAAATGGTTGTATAATCTTGGGGCCATACAAAAAACGCTATTATTAAGAAAATGCGTTCTATTACTCGGGAAACATATGTGATTATTATAGCGTTTACTTTTCATTTTGTCAAACAGATTAATATTATTCTTTACAAATACTAACACTTCGTACATGTAGATACATGGTACCGTCAAAATATTTAAATTAATAAAGTACGGTCTACAGCTGTCGGTCTGGCTTAGTTTGCAAATAGCCCTGACACACCTCTTTTGAGATATGAATATCATTTCTTTGTAAGTTGAGTTGCCCCAGAAGATTATCCCATACCGAAGAAGAGAAACAACGTGTCCGTGGTATGCAGTTATAAGTGTTCCGGCATTAGCAACCTTAGATAGCTTGAATAGTGCATACGAGAACTGATTAATTTTGGAGCTTATATATTCACTATGACATCGCCACTTTAAGTTGCTCTCTATATGCAGTCCTAGAAATTTTGTGCACTGTACCTCTTGTATTTTGTGTCCTGAATAATTAATGAGAACATTAGTTATTAATTCCTTTCTATTTTTAAATGTCATTATATTAGTCTTAGTCAAATTTATCTTTAGATTATTACTTGTCAACCAGTCAACAATAGTAATTAACATGTTGTTTATATCCTCTTCCAGAAGGTTTTGATTTTGTCCTTGGAAAAGGACTGTACTATCATCAGCAAATAATATTGTTGGATGCTGGGTAATATTCGGGAAATCATTTATATATATGATGAATAATAAAGGCCCCAACACACTACCCTGAGGTACACCGACGTTTATTTTTCTAAATTTCGACATGTATTTTATTTGTTTTTTTTTATTTTTACAAATTGTCGTAACTACTGTTGATTGACTTCGGTTAGATAGATATGATTTAATTAAATCCAGAGCAGTTCCTCTAACACCATATGCATTAAGCTTCTTCAAGAGGAGAGTATGATCTACATGATCAAAGGCTTTAGTGAGATCCATGTATAAAGCACATGTTGGGATCCCCTTATCCACATTTGTCATAACTATTCTAAGAAGCCTGTAAATAGCAAGGCTAATATTTTTATTTTTCCTGAAACCAACTTGTTCTTCAGCAAATAGGTTGTAACACTCAAAAAAGGAATACAAATTGTTATATATAACCTTCTCAAATATTTTTGATAGGACTGGAACAAGTGCAATGGGTCGGTAGCATGACATGTCCTTTAAGTTTCCTTTCTTAAACAATGGTTTTATAATTGTCTGTTTTAGTTTTTCTGGGAAAATTCCATTTAATATACATAGATTAATTATGTGACTTAATACCGGGGATATACTATTTGCCGTATGCTTTAAGGCGCTTGTTGTTATATCGTCATAACCAGTACTCAACGTGTTTTTTAGACTGCCTATTATGGTTTTTATGTCAGCTGGGGTTGTGGGTGCAATAAAAATGGAATTGACCGGTCCAAGATGGTTGCCCGGCTTAGCATTCAATGTGTTTGTTGATATTTGGTCAATAAAGAAGTCATTAAAAGATTCGGCTAATTGTGCGGGGTCACTAATAATTTTACCATTTACATCCAATTCCTCTATTTCGGCCTTAGGTAAATTGTGTTTAATATTATTTATTATTTGCCAAGTAGCCCTACCCTTATTAACTGCAGTGTTAATATAATTATCATTTTGGGATTTTTGTGTGAGATTGATAACACGTTTTAGTCTAGACGAAAGAGCTTTAAAATTACTTTTATTTATTTCGGTACGATTTTTCCTATATTGCCATAAGAGTTGCCGTTTGCGTTTACAACACTTTCTTATACCTGAGGTAATCCATGTAGGTCGTTTTTCAGCTCGTATTTTTTTAACAATTAGGGGAAAACACAATTGAAAAAATAAGGAAAATAAATCATGAAAAATGTCAAATGCAGTATTAGGATTGTCACAATTAAAAATATCACAAAATGTCAAAGATGATATAGATTGTTTAAATTTGTCAATATTTTGCTTATTAAAGTCCCGTTTTTCTACATACCAATATTTTAGACTGCTACTTGGTTTAACTGGGCACGTCAGAACTTGTGCTGTATGGTCAGAAATAGCAAATTCCACAACTTCACATGTGCTACCTCGTATGTTATCAATAAAATTATCCAAACATGTACCTGATTTAAGACGTGTTGGTTCTTTAATTTGCAAACGCAGATTAAAAACAGATAGCATTTCTTTCAATCTATCGGTACTTCTTGACGGTTTCAAAATATTAATATTGAAGTCACCACAAATTATTATTTTATTTTTCTTGTAGGATAGAGTGAGTAATATTTCTAATGTTTTGAAAAATGTGTCTAAGTCGGGATTAGTACATTTAGGAGGACGATATATGCATACTATATAAATGCCATGATTCAACAATTCAACACCAGAGCATTCTATAATACCTTCTTTGGAATACTTTTTAATGTCAGAAATTTCTTTAAATCTATGCGTTTTTCGCACTAAGACACACGCACCTCCATGGCGATTTTTACGAGAAAAACAAGAACCAAGAATGAAATTGTGAGCAGAAAGCATCTGTAGGTCATCAATTGTCATATTGTGTTCAGTAATACAGAGGACATCAATAGACAAAGAGGTGTCTTTCTGGTATGTATCCAAAGCCAACACTAACAAATCTGACTTATTCAATAATCCATTTACATTTTGATGCAAAACACATACCTTATTATACACGAAAACATTTTGTAGCATTCTCAATTACTTCCGACTCACAGTTAAACTCTGAATCAGTTTGAGTACATTTATCTACGGCACTCGGACAATACTTCGAACAATTCAACTTACCAAGATATTCTTCATATTTTGTTTTATAATTAATACGCAGGAGTTCTTTTAATATAGACCGGCACTTACAGAGTAGAAAAGAGTCACGTCCGGGCTTGTAGTCAAAATAATTAATATTTACAAAACTATTATTTTTGCCATTCCTATTACATAAAAATCTTAATTCGTAATTAAATTTCTTAGCATTCAAATATTTATTGTATGGAACATTTGTAATTATAATATTTGTATTTTCGAGTTCTTTTAAAAATGCTTGCAATTCAAATTGAAAGTTATAAGGATTTCTGTCATTTGTCCCTGCTAATACAATAACAAAATCCTTTTTAGACAGTGTTTTCAATTCACTCCTTTCCGTTAGTAAAACTTCGGCTAATGTAGCTCCAGGTTTCCAAAAACAGCTCACAGAAAATTCTGACCCTACCAGACCTTGAAAAACATGTTGAAAATGACGGCCTTGTTCATCAGCAATAACTATAACTTTGTTTCTCCTTGTAGGCAAAACTGGATTTTGTAAGTTCTGAGGCCGATCACTTATATCTGTTGTTACGTGCTGTGCAGTAGTTGTCATAGTAACGCAAACATTCTCGTTGACACTGTCCATTGGTAGTTCTTTTTCCGTTGTTACTGTCTCCCGATCATTCAACTCAACACTGCATGAAATATTTGAGTCGATGGAACCCGTATCAACCATAGCATTAGCATTTTGTTCCGTTGTATCGTAACCTGATTGATCTATTATATTCATTGTAAGATCACCATTTCGTATGTTGGATGAAGGTGTTGGTGAAGTAACATCATATCTATTTACATCATAAAGTTGATACCTCTTCTGTTTTTGAGCCGACATAACACCTTTTGTTTTTTCCGTAAAATCCATTTTTTTATATAGTTCTATTACTCCATAACACTTAGCGAGGTCTTTTTTTAGATTGTTGATTTCCAAATGCATGT